CTGACGGGAGGGGCGCCGGGGCGGATCCGGCACCGCTGGGGGCCTGCTGGCTGGCGGAGGGACGGGGACCGAGGGCGCTCACTTTGGACCGCCAAGGTGTAGACGTAGGGATTCTGCATGGACTGTTCCAGAGCCTTGACTCAGCTTTTATTGCTTTTACAGATCCACCTCCGACCCTTAAGCCAGAGACCCAGGTAAGTTCCCTTATCTTTGCAGCCCAATACTGCATGCAGTCCCCCTCTCACCACCCCCCTCCAACCCCCCATTCTTTTTTACTAGCTTTCCCATCGTAAGGACTATGCCTTTGGGAAATGCCCCTCTGGTCTCACTGTGATCCATCTTTCCTTTTAGCCACCAGAGAAACGCCGGAGAACAATTGAGGATTTCAACAAATTCTGTAGTTTTGTCTTGGCCTATGCTGGTTACATCCCCCCCAGCAAAGAGGTAGGGACAGAACAACTGGCTTGTGGCTGATGTCCTAGGGGCCTTTGAGCAAATGAGGCCATGTTAATCTATTTCTTTATATGTGAAACTGAAGACTGTGTTGGGAAAACCACCACCAGGGATCCTTGGATAAACTTTAGGGAGCTGGAAATGGTAGGATCCTGGTTGGAGGTAATGGGTAATAGGTGGCTTGGGTAGCAGTGATAAGACTTGTTTTTGTGTGAAACCAGGGGAAGTAGAATTGAGGGCTCTGCTGGGGACACATTCTGGTTGGGAGGTTGTTTATAAGTGAGTTGGATCAGTGATAGAGGGCGGTGCTCTTGGGTCCTTAGTAATGATTTTGGAGTGATTTGGGGTTGCTGTGTCAGAATCAACTCGATGGCTGTGAGTTTGGGTTTGGTTAATGGAAGCTATTTCTGGAAAGATTCTGATTTAGCAATTTCAACACATAGTGACTAGGACAGAGTAGAACTGCTCCGAAGGCTTTCTGAGATTGCATTTTCAGAAGCTGACTGCCTCATTTTCCTGTAGCGGAGTGGCTAGTGGGTTCAAACCACCCACCTTGTGGTTAGCAGCCCAACACTTAGCTCACTGCACCACCACCAGGGATCCTTGGATAAACTTTAGGGAGCTGGAAATGGTAGAAAATGAGGCTATACAGGAACGGCATGAGAAAAGTGGCCCCGGTCTGTGGAATAGAGTGTATCAAGGGCCGTTGCCGGGGCAGGGCAGAGGTGGCTTAGAATTTAAGGGTAACGGGTAACATGGAGGAGGAGCTGGGGTGTGGATCCTTCTTTCTGAGTAGGTAAAATGAGATTTGCCGGCCAGGGCAGGACCTTGAGGTATACCTTTGGCATATAGGCTGAGTCTCGAACCCCCTGCCTGACCTTGGGTCTCATTTCCTTCTTAAGGAAAGTGATTGGCCAGCCTCTGGCTCCAGCTCTCCGTTGCGAGGTGAGAGTGCAGCAGACAGTGATGGCTGGGACTCAGCCCCCTCAGATCTCCGAACAATCCAGACCTTTGTCAAGAAAGCAAAGTCCTCCAAGAGAAGGGCTGCTCAATCAGGCCCCACCCAGCCAGGACCACCAAGGTCTACTTTCTCTCGCCTGCAGGCCCCAGACAGCGCCACCTTGCTTGAGAAGATGAAGCTCAAGGACTCTCTCTTTGATTTGGATAGCCCGAAAGTGGCATCTCCCCTGTCCCCTACATCCCTGACACATACTTCCCGGGCCCCTGCCGCTCTCACCCCACTGCCCCTTTCCCAGGGGGACCTCCCCCAGCCGCCTCGAAAGAAGGACCGAAAGAACCGAAAGCTGGGGCCTGGAGGCGGGGCTGGCTTTGGGGTACTTCGGAGGGCACGGCCAGCCCCTGGTGATGGGGAAAAAAGGTCTCGAATCAAGAAGAGCAAGAAACGGAAGTTGAAAAAGGCAGAGCGGGGGGATAGGCTCCCACCTCCTGGACCTCCCCGGGCCCCCCCCAGTGATACAGACTCTGAAGAGGAGGAGGAGGAGGAAGAGGAGGAGGAGGAGGAGGAGGAAGAGATGTCAACAGTGGTAGGGGGTGAAACCCCAGCCCCTGTGCTCCCTGCGCCCCCTGAGGCTCCTAGGCCACCTGCCACGGGAACCCCTGAAGGAGCCCCATCCACTGACAATGAAAACAAAGAGGGGGGCAGCACTGAAACAAGCCAAGATGGAGACGCCAGCTCTAGTGAAGGCGAGATGCGGGTCATGGATGAGGACATCATGGTGGAATCAGGTGAGGGAGTTGGAGCTGCACAGGGAGAGGAGGCAGGGAAGGAAGGGGCTGGGAAGGTGTCTTGGACCTAAGAAGCCAGGTAGATGATCAAACAACCCTCCTTTTCCTTAGGTGATGATTCGTGGGACCTGATCACGTGTTACTGCCGCAAGCCCTTTGCAGGGCGGCCCATGATCGAGTGCAGCCTGTGTGGGACATGGATCCACCTCTCTTGTGCTAAGATTAAGAAGACCAATGTCCCTGATTTCTTTTACTGCCAGAAATGCAAGGAACTTCGACCAGAGGCCCGGCGATTAGGAGGCCCTCCCAAACCGGGAGAGCCTTGACCTCACCAACTCCAGACTGGAACCTCCAATTGACAACATGACTGGGGAACTGAGCCTCAGGGGACATGGTCCCATTCGAGGCAGGAATTCCCACGGGAGACTTGCTTGGAGAAATGTGTGTCATGTTCCCATTCTCCCCACCCCCACCCTCCAACCTCTGGACTTTATCTTGGACCCACTGCAGTTGGGGGTGAGAGGCTGTCTGGGTCTCAGACACAATTCCTGCCCCTCGGACCTGCCTGCCACCTCTCACCTTCTGGGTCAGGGTTGGATTTGGGATGGAATTTTACAGAGTCTATAAAACTCTAGTGTAAATATAGCACTCCCCTCCCTCATTTCTTCTCACTCATTTATTTTCTTATACATCAGTTGCATTTTTAATTTTGGACTTCCCCTTTTGGGCATGGCAGCTCAGAAATGAAGTAGCACAGCCTGGTTGAGGGAGGAAGGGAAGCAGAAAGGTGGTGTTTCTTTTCTCATTTTATGGGCTGTTTGTCCGGACGGCCTGTGTGTTGTAAATAAAGCAGAGTGGGCTCTTTGTGTTTATAGCCCGATTGTCCTGCTTGGGAGGGGAGCTTTGGGATAGCTGGACCACACCTCCAAGTCCCCAAGGGAACCGCCCCTGCTCTGGGCCTTTCCCATCAGTTGGCATTGCCTTACCCAAGCCCACAGCCTTGACGCCCCACAACTCCCCTCCTCCTCCCCACTTTCCTACTCCATAGGCTCCCAATGGCCTCCCTGCTGATGTGGGGGACCTGTTGCCCCTTCCCAGAAGGTAGACCGGCCTGCTTCAGTTTGGACGCTGGGCGGGCGAGGGTGGGGACCCTCTGGGGGCGGGGCCGTGGAGGGTTGGGGCGCCGTTGGCGAAGGCCGCGG